CCCGGAAGCTTCGATGTCCCTCATCACATCCTGTCGACCGATTAGCTATGCGGAACTGCGTGAAATCAATTTCGAGGATTTTACCGTGCTACCATCTGCACCATAGATCTTGTTAGCGAGATCATGGGCAAAGTCATGCTTGTAGGGAGTCCACGGCACGACTTTATGTTTGTTTTGTTTCAAGACACTGACTACCCGCTCAATCCCGCGCAGTACCGGAGGATGTGGGAGAACCTGTACTATTAGCGAACGCGATGATGCTGTGATCCTGTGAAACTCACGTTGCCGTCACAGTTATAGTATCCGATGGTAAGGCCAGATGAGCCCAGCTTTGCTTTGACAGCATCCTCCAAGTCAGATCGCCAGGGCATTGGGACGACTTTGGAGTCGTAGTTCCAGGGCTCTTGTTGGAGAACCGACGTGAGGAAGAGCCTCAGGTCTGAACAATCAGTCTATCTGTGGACATGAGTTTAGCTTGATCCACGTACCGGCTGCCGAGTGCGCAATGGGTCCAACGACACTATGAATAGTCTCCTGTCCCTCCATACTATTCGCCATCTTCGCATACGGCATACGCCCATGACTCGGACGAATGCCGTACAAGAAGTTGAAAGCCGATGGAATCCTAATGGAGCCGCCAATATCTGTTCCAACACCAATGACGCCTCCACGAATGCCGATCATAGCTCCCTCACCACCTGAACTTCCGCCGCACGACCAGTTCTTGTTGCGTGGGTTTGTCGTTCTGCCGATGATGTTGTTGACTGTTTCGCAGACCATCAAGGTTTGCGGGACACTTGTCTTGACGTAGAAGACGGCACCGGCTTTGCGAAGGAGTGCTGTGAGGACGGAGTCTTCTTCGTCGGACTTTCCTAGCCAGGAGATGTAACCCATTGATGTCTCTTTTCCCTGATCGAATCGTGTCAGTTGTGCATCGAGTACTCAGGCAGGTAAAGCAGCACAGATAGGAAGAGAACCGCTTCATACCTTGATCCGCAGCTGATCTTTCAGTGAGATAGGAAGTCCATGTAGAGGACCAATGGGCTTGTTATGCTTAGCATAATACTCATCCAGCCCACGGGCCTGTGCAAGAGCCTCTTCGGGGAAGAACTCATGTATACAATTCGTCTATGACAAGTCGTTAGTCAATGCACTTGTGCCCATCATCAAGCCCATCTTACCAGTTGCTGTGCTATAGCAGCTCTTTTGCAAAACGCAAGCGTGACATCGACCGATTTCAGCTTGCCTTGCGCCAATTGTGCAACGAGATCAGTCGCTGATGATTCCGTTATCTCGATTTCCTGTGCAGAAAGCAATCCTGACTCCTTTGGATATGCGAACGCATTGTTGTCGCTCGGAGGTGTTCGGATCAACCAGTCTGAGGGGATAGATTCGGCAATACGCTTTCGCTTGTCGGCAGCAAGTTGCTCCCAATTTGAACCCATTGTTGATGTGCGTACGCTGTTTGCGGCGATGATAGAAGTTTGGTTTGAACTACAGTCTGTCTAATGTTCAGAAAGATAGCTGTACCGATACTGGCGCCGGACTAAAGGGCGATGATAACGCTCATACGTACTGCGTTTATCAGGATAGTCGCTTGCACCTACCGCATCGAGACTCGACCCCACCTTACGTGCGGAGCATTTCCGACAACACGGCTCGGTATTTCGCTTCTTGACATCTACGATGCTAGTTGTACTCAGGTCTCGTAGACTCGATCGAGCTGTCAGACTTGCTGCTATAAAGTATCGATAATCCCCGGTCTGTACACGAGATAGGACGCCGTATAACGTGCCGGTTTGTACAGTGCTAACAAGGGCTGCATGACGTCACCTGGGTCACACCTAGGCAAGCTCCATCGGTTGCAGTGCTGAGTACACAACCTTGGAATGCAACTAGGCTGTCGCTATCACATACTAAATGTCTCTCACTCATCTGAACTTCTCAGAATGGAAAGTGTCCCCAACGTAGATATGTTTACCGCACTACAGCTGGACACTCGACCGGCAAAGAGCGGATAGACACGCTTCGTGTTTTGTTCGTCGCGCTATAGCCCTCACGTATTCTGTACCATCACACAACATTTGGCTAGGTATCTTGAATACACGCTGTAGACGCCATGTACTTCCCGCGCCCTATGACACAGCATTCATATCTACGTATAGAACGCCCGACACGTCGATGTTTTGAGACAAACCATGAAAACTCACAATCGAATTACATCCTAAGACTATCCGAAATCGACAAAACTCACACCGCCGATACTTGAACATTGGATAAGATATTCGACCTCTAGCCACCCACCATGTATCTTCGCGCCGTTCACGCTGAGGCAGATATTGCAAAACTACATCAATTCATCCGCGCAAACCCACTGGGCATCTTCACCACAGCCATCGAATCCAAATCATTTCCCTTCCTCCAATCCAGCCACATCCCCTGGGTCCTGGACACCGAAGAACCCAAAGCCGACTCGACCCATCTCGGCGTCCTCCGCGGCCACATCGCTCGCGCCAACCCCCAAGCAAAAGCCCTAATCGAACATCTCAAATCCGAAAACAATGAGACAGATCAACCGCGCCAGACCCTCTCCCGCGACGTCATGATCCTCTTCAACGGCCCAGCCCACCACTACGTTACCCCAAAATTCTACACAGAAACCAAGCCCGCGACCGGAAAAGTAGTGCCCACGTGGAACTACTCCGCCGTCCAAGTCTACGGCCGAGCCACCATTTTCCACGACACAAAAGACCCTACCACAGGCACTTTCCTCGACAAGCAGATTCGAGATCTGTCGCTGCAGTCCGAGAAGGAGATTATGGGCTACGAGAAGCCATGGGAGGTTGACGATGCGCCGTTGAGTTATATTGAGATACTGAAGAAGGCGATTATTGGGGTGCAGATTGAGATAATGGATTTGGGGGGAAAGTGGAAGATGAGTCAGGAGATGGGGGTTGGGGATCAGAAGGGTGTGATTGAGGGGTTCAAGAAGATGGGGTCGGGGGTTGGGGATGAGATTGCGAGGATGGTGGAGGAGAGGGGGAAGGTGGGTATGAAGTCTTAGCTGTATCAATAGCTTCGCGATACCTATTTCTTTTGTAAAAGTTGTCTGCCAATGTAAGAGGTGATGAACCCGGGGTATCATGTCCAAACGCCAAACCAAACTCCGAAAAGCGAATTGAGCAAACTTGGCGTGTGCTACCAACTCGCCAAAACAGCATCCACCTTCCTCCTCCCTTCATTGTCCAGCCCCTCCATATCAACATCCTCCTCATCCTCCGCCGTAGAAGGAACCTGCACATCCCCAAACTTCTCCTCCACACGCGCCGCAACACGTATAGCCAGCGTACGTGTCTTCGCAAGCTCTGACGCAAGCGGCGCGTCCTTCCACACCAGATTCGGCTGTATATTCTCTTTGGGGTTGCGGTACGGTTCTAGCAGCGAAAGCAGTGTACGATATGTATCGAGCCGGTTCTGGAGTGTCTGTCGATGTGCAGAGAGTTCTTGGAGGCGGGAGACAGAGGAAAGGTATTCGTCTTGTGTGATTTCGGCGTCGCGGTCGAGCCATGTGGTGGGGAGCTTTGCGATGTTCTCGTCGAGGGTCAGGTCGTCGTTTTGGTAGAGAGTGTGCGCGTCATTTTCGGGTAAGGAGGAGGAAGTGTGCGCATCTTCGTTGTCGTCATCGGCGTGTTGCGCGCCGGAGTCCCAGTATAGGATGTCTATTTGCTCGACGACGTGCTCGATCATTTGGCGGCTGTAGACTTTTCGGGAGTGTTGTTTTAGGTCGCGGTTGACTGCGAGATGTTAGTGCCGATATGCAGAATGATATGGGTGAGACCACTGTATACCTTTATCAAGCACGCCTTTCATGACACTGAGTTCAATACCACCATCTTGCGCAAGAGTGCGCAGCCGTTCTGATGGCGGTATTGGACGCGATAGAATGTGTTTCCTGGTCTGGAGAAATCTTTGCTTCTGTTCAACGACAGTGCCTTGTTTCGACCTCGCATTTGGCACGCGTCGATCCATTTCGAGAGTGTTGGGTGGGTTTGCGATGACCATCATGGCGGACATGTGCATTGGATTGCGGGGACTAGCGCGACGCGTGCGAAACCGGCCTTTACCCCATTGAGATAGCGCGCTCGCCAGCTCCTACCTAATTGATGTAACACCTGAGGTACCTCGTCCCATCCCATCCCTTATCACACCCGCAATGTTGCTCCTCATTCTTGTCCTCCTGCTTGTCACACCTGCGTTGACATACTATGTTTCGACAACTCTGTTCTACCAAACCGCGAAGAGCACTGCGTTAGGGAAGGAACCACCAAAAGTTCCTTACTTCGTTCCAGGAGTGACACATCCTTTCTGCTTGGCGGTCGAGGGACAGCAGAAGTACTTGGCGAGACTGATGTAAAGTCTATGAGGTGATGTGAAATAGACGACTACTAACATACATTAGTAAGGAATATGGAAATTTCGCGCCATTCCGCGTCTTGGGTTTCGTCATTCTTCGAGACCCAGAACACATGAAGAAGGCCATACGAGCATGTGAACAACAGCATCCAGTAATCACTAGAAGGGGAATTCATGAAGTCGCCTTGGGCTTTCCCAAATATGTCGAGAAGATGTACGCGGATGCTGCTGTGAATAAAGCAGAGATCGAGCGTGCGCGTGCCGCAATAACGCGGAAATATCTGGAAGGTAGCTCGTTGACCACCACGACTAATTTGTATGCGCATTTACTTTCGCGTAATATGGATGACAAGATGTTCCAAGTCGGCAGCTGGACCCAGATAGAAGACGTCTGGTCCTTCTTTCAGCAAGTTCTTACGAGGTGCTCTATTGAGACGCTCTTTGGCACTCAAATTTTCAAGAAGTATCCTCGACTCACCAAGGACTTATGGGAATTCGAAGACGCCATTCAGGGCGTTTTACCGGCATTATCATGGTTTACTATGTCACTACCAGGAATTCCAAACCCAGGTCCTTACAAGGAACCGATGACCCGACTAGGCCAGGGCATTAACAAGTGGCTGAGGGCCAGCCACAGCGGCACCGAATTTGCAAAGACTGGCAGCGACGACGCAGACTGGGACGAGCATAGAGGTTCGAAATTCATCCAGGAACGTGACGATTTGTTTGCGAAAGCTCCGTTTTCTATTGAGAATAGGACTGCGGAGATGTTGGATGTTATGCACTGGTAAGCATACTCCGTGAAGCTATAATATCTGGGGGACACAAGGCCGTGCTGACATGCTTGTAGCTCGAATGTGGATTTGATCCCCTCCGCTATCTGGGCAATGATCGAAATCCTGCGTAAACCCTATTTGGCCGATAAGATCACTGCATTCGTCTCCGAACCCCAGGCAACAAAAGCGGTCGCGCCTGATGAGGATGGTATTCTAGCTAGACCCCTCTTCCAGTCTTTACAAGCAGAAGTCAGTCGTCTTCGTTTCGCAAAGTACACCATCTGCACAAACCCAACCGCCGAAGTTGCTGTTGACAGCGCGTGGACACTTCGTAAAGGATGCAACGCAGTTTCGTTTTCGCAAGATCTCGCCCTGAACACGAAAGCGTGGGCAAACGCGCGGCCACGCACTGTCGAAAAACCGTTGGAGGAGTTTTGGGCTGAGCGCTTCTTAATCGCTGATAAAGACACTCCACATATACAGGGTCAGCGAAAGAGCCGCGGTAGCATGAATGCGGCGAGATTCGACGCGCAAGATCTCGAGCTGCTGGTCCCTGCACTCGGCGATAAGCAGGCGTTTGGACTTGCTAGCGACTACATCAAAGCCATGCAAGCAGCGACCATGGCTGTCCTACTGAGAGAGTTCGAGATACAGCTATGCGATCCGGATTTGATCGATGCAGCGATGCCTGAGTTGCGAGAGTCGGCGTTTGGACAGGTGCGACCGAAGGAGAAAATAGCCGTGCGCATACGCAAACGCAGGGCTGGCAAGGAGCAGTGAAGGGAGGGCCCTTCCACTTTCGGATGTGGCGCAGTCTTGCCGTGTGATTGTCGTGTAACCCACAAAATCTTTATCTACCGTTCTTTCGACCACGCACGTTAAGCACTCTGTGTGTCCTCCTTACCTCCTCAAACACTAACGCGATCACAACGACTGTCGATTGGCCTCGAATATGGAGCTTGATCGACTCAGCATAGTCACAGGCTTGTTCGCGATTGCCTTGGCGTACTGGTCCAGCAAGATTGTCTACAATGTCTTCTTTCACCCTTTGGCACGCTTTCCCGGTCCGTGGTGGGCGACGGCGTCATATCTGGCAGAGTTTTACTATGACGTCCTGCAAGGTGGGCAGTATCTCAAAAAGGTCATCCAAATGCATGAGATATATGGTAGGTACTAGCGACGAGACGCAATTGATACAAAAAGCATTGGCTGATAGCGCGCAGGCCCTCTGGTACGAGTCAATCCGGACCATCTCTCATTGAATGACCCATTCTTCTACACCGAGGTGTACTCAGGCGCTGGACGGAAGATGAACAGTAAGTTTTGACTGTACCAAGTGCGTACGAGATAAATACTGACTTTGTACCTCTACCTCTGCAGAGCACCCCGAGCTCTCACAAACCGTAGCTACTTCTGTGGTCTCCACCAAAGACCACGACCTGCACCGACAACGTCGGGGTTACATTGCCAATATGTTCTCCAAAAAGTCTATCTCGGATCTCGAGAATGTTGTCCAGTCAAAAGTCGACAAGTTGGTCATGCTGATGAAACAGGCCTATCGTACAGAAGAGACACTGATCGGACATCTCATGTTTGGCAGCCTCGCGGTTGACATCATCTCGCACTACGCGTACGGGGAGAGTTTCGGCGACCTCGATAAGCCTGGCCTCCCGTGTGAGCTCCAGCGAGACGTCAAAGGCGTAGCGTTGACTTTGAACCTGCGCAAATTCTTCCCGGCCATGGATGCGGTCCTGATGCGTATTCCGGCCTGGTTGATCACCCGTATTAACCCGTCTATCGTCAGCTGGTTGGACTTCGATAACCGCATCACGAGATACTCCATCGAGGCGTTGAAGAAAAGCCAAGAAGGAGTGGAGCCAGCCAAGCCTAGGACGATATTTGATGCGCTACTCAGCTCTAAAGTTCCTGAAGAAGAAAAGACGCTGCAACGATTGAAGGATGAGGGCACGCTTATCTTGTTCGCTGGTGTGGATACTACAGCTCGATTTCTGACTTGTGCGATGTGCTACTTGCTCACGTATCCGAGTATATTGGCGAAGCTGCGAGCGGAGCTGGAGTCCCAATCTACATCGACCTTGACTGAGCTCGAGGCTCTGCCGTATCTGGTAAGTCGTCGATTGCCCCACTCAGTCGTAACGACTAACACGGACTAGACAGCCGTCATCAACGAGTCTCTCCGCTTCTAGTGTTGCTTCACAGGCCGCTTTCCGCGCGTTGTCGTTGATCCTATTCCCTACAAGGACCTGCTCATCCCATCTGGTGTAAGTATGACACTCGTTCTGAAGCTGTACTCATCTAACATTATCTAAGACCATCATTGGCGCATCCCCGTATCTACTCAACAACCACCCCGACGTATTCCCAGATCCTCATATCTTCCGGCCCGAGCGGTGGATCGAAGCCAAAGCCCGCGGAGAATATCTCGACAAGTATCTCGTTACCTTCTCGAAGGGCAGCCGAGCTTGCCTCGGCATCAAGTAAGACGTCATGCCATGTTGTACGTTGAAGCCATACTAACGAATTCTAGTCTCGCGTACGCGGAGTTGTACCTCACTATCGCGGCCATGGTTCAGAACTTCGACCTGGAGCTTGTAGATTCCTCCATCGAGAACATCACCCCGGATCGAGACTTTGGTCTGGCTTTTGACAAGAACTACAACTTCGGCGTCGATCTGAGGGTCACCAAGGTACTGCAGGAGTGAAGGGTGGGTGTTATGCAGGACGATCGGTATCTTGATACACAGGGAGTACGTGCAGACTTTCATCATATACAGCGAATGTTATAAGCCTGAATCGTGGCGGAAGTTGCTGGCTCTACAACAGAAAGAGACATCAGTTGGCAATCTTTCCATTCCCGTAATCCTTCGATAGTCAAGCAGAAAAATCAGTGTCAGGTAAAGATCCGACATTTTATAGTCCAGGTCTGTGCCCCACCAACGAGCGCTCTCATCCATGCACCACAATTCGTGCCTGCTAATTTGTCCTCACACTCTCAAGTACGTCGAACAGCACCTTCGCAACATCACTATACTGACATGAGCTCATTTCTCTTCATTGCCTCTCCACTGCGTCATGCTGTATCCTTACCTGGCATCGAAATACTTTGAGATTCGCTCTAGCAGTTGTACCCGGTATGGTATCTGCATGTGTGCGCCTCATGCCTAGGGGCATTCGCGGCCGGCTCTTTGTAGTAAATAGGTGGGAAAGATGGGGGATTGGGGATTGGCTGGTCGAGAGGAGGGGTTGATGCGAGTGGGTGCGCGACGATTGTCGTAACAAGGAGGAAGAACAGGGTTGTCAAGGATGCGAGACGAGGCATGCTCACGATGGCGGTTCTTGGAGACTGGAACTAGATGGGGGATATGAAGGGAATTGAGCTTGTAGATCAGGGAGCGTAAATAAAAGGAAGCAAGAAAGCTATGTCCAAGCGAGCGGAAGAAACCAACAAACAACCTGTCAATACATATCCATCACATCCTCATCACTGTCACAACCACCCGCTCTAGATACCCATCCGCCCCATCCAATCTCATCCAACCATCACAACAAGCTTAACAAACAAGTCCCTCACGCGTCCCCTAAAAGCTACTCCGGACGCACACGTACCACTCTCTGTACCACAGCCAACCCATCACACCCCCATACAACTGTACCCGCAAGCGCCCTTGCACAACAGATTCTTCTTAACAGCCTTGCACACCTGTTCATCGTAACAAGCACCTGTCTTCTTTCTTACTTCCTTGGGGAGGCAGTGGTTCACCTATGGGAGGAAATTGTCAGAATGGGTTGTTTGGAGTTGTGGAGTGGGTGCGTAAGTGGCAGGGTCTCGAAACGTTTGGGTTACAAGAAAGGAGTGACATTGATGGTTAGGAGTTGGTATAAGGAGAAGCACGTACCTTGGTGTAGAGATCGATGACGAGGGCGCATGTGTGACAGACGTTTGTTGGGCTGTCGGTCATGATTTGGCGTTCTGCTAGTTCGAGGGAGATGATGGGGTTGGCGGTGGCGACGGTGGTGAGGGCTACGAGGAAGAGGGTTGGAAATTTCATGGTGTTGGTAACTGGTTGAGTGCTTTTTCTGCGGTGGAATAGAGTGGAGTTGGGTGGTATAGAGAAGAGTGAGTGTGGATTGATGGAGCTGATGGGTCGCTGTGCTGGACTATTTCTACAGGCACGATGATCCAAGTATTTATCTACCTACAGTGAATGATGGAGTTGCAATCGTGTTTCCTGTGTTGGTTAGTCGAGGTTTCTTTCATGTTCGTATCGTCTGGTAGGTCGTTGGGTAGGCCGCATGGACTTTCCTTTATTCGTCCCTTGCGAACTGTTTGGAATGTGCGAAGCGACAAAACATACAGCGGATAGTACGGCGAGGATCGCCGGATCAGTATCAGCATCCGATTCTGAATGGTAGTGATGCATCTTATAGCTAACCAATCTCTCACACCAACATGCCACCATGGTAGGATCCGCAGACTTGGCAATATCTCTTCGTATTATGTTGATTCCTAGAGTTCGAGCAACACGCTCTGCCTTCGTTCTAGTCTCGTCCTTCAATACAGCTTCTTTGTATGCACCTACGCGTGTCAACAAGTCTACTCATCTGCCCGGCGAGATGTTCGATCAAGATCACAGAGGTTGTTGACCTTTTGTCCAATATCACACCGGGAAGATGAGCAGACTTATCGACAAGCGTAGGCACACACGCTCGAAGACTACATCGTACCCCGCCACGCCTAAGCACACTTAACCACCCCGTCCACCCCTCTCATCCTGCATGCCAATGGCTGGGTCGGGCGCCTCGGGAAACTCTTTCTTTGCCTTCTCCTTCCCACCAGCAGAGTCTTTTCCTTCAGTCGCGTGACCACCGCTGCCCTCTTTTTGTGCGCTGCTTCATGGTATTAGCCGTATGTTGCGATAAGCCACGTTCGTTGCCTTCCGTCCCCTTATGTATGTTGCTGGAAACCACTCACTCTATGCCTGCCTTTGCATTGCTCTCCTGGACGTTGTGTGTGTCGCCCTGCTTGACCTTCTCTTGTACCGCATGCGGGCTATCGCTGTCGTATTTGTCCGTCTTGGTCTTTGAGTTGGTGCTTAGGTTATTGGGGTATTGCTCGACGCGTCTTGAGGTCGAGAGGGAGAAAGGGCGTGCGGACGGGGCGGTGAGGCGTAGGGTCCTTGTGGACCGGATCATGTTGTTGCGAAACATGGTGGGTTGGCTCGTCGAGCTTCGAGCTGTCTATTACGTAGGTGGTGAGGGTTGAAGGTAAGGTTGTGTATGTGTCAATTGGGTCGATTTGATGGTTGAAGTCAGGGTGGATGGAGGTAAGGAAGCAAAAGTCTAGAAGAGACCGAGGTATGCAAAAGCAAATGACGCATGACGCGATTGCACATTTCAGCTAGCAATGATGATGTATGACGCTCTCTCCAATTGTACCTGGCATGGCTGGCGGCATGCGGGTCATAGCTCCACCTGACGCGCCTTACCGCATGGGGGTTGCATCTACCCCTCCCCCACATTTCGCGATTTGAGCCTCATCGCGAAGACGGGCCCAGGCTAGCATCCTTGAACGCGCATCGTGCCGAAATATACATTGAAGGCCGTCAGAAGAACCGACTTTGTTCAACACTTCAACACATATTCGTCCAGCGCCACAGACGTTGCACAGCAGACAAAGACCACGAGCGGCACAACAAGACCATCACTAACATGGCCGACCAAAAAGACTGGAAAGCAGAGGACTTCCCTTGCACCCTGTACGCTTTCAGTCCCTATCAGATGCCATTCACATCCCTAACACGACCTCAGCACCCTAAACATCCCCTTCCCAACCCCCCACCTCGCCTCAACCGCCTCCCGCGCCCTCTCCGTCGACGCCGAACTCTCACCCCTCGTCCGCCGCGCATTCACGCTCACCACACCACCCTCCCCCTCATCCTCATCCACAGAACAAAGCGTCCTACAAGTAAACTACGCAGCAACCACCAACCGCATGTTGCGCGTCGCCGTGAACGGATTCATAGAGAGCATAGGCGTTGTGATTGGTGTGATGAAGGATTTAGACACGGATGTCGTTTATGAGGCAACGAAGGAGGGGCTGGAGGGTGTGCAGGGGTTGGATAGGGAGAAAGTGGGCTGAGGAGAGGCATGGGAAGTAATAGTATTCAAGTGCAGATCTGCAAGGCTGGAAAGTGCGATGAGGAAGACCGGGGAGGAGAGGGAAGGCGCGAAGAGCGTTGGAGAGTCGACGACGATGATAGACAAGCCCACCACACGCACGAGGGGGAGACCAAGAGATCGACAAGGAAGAATGCAAGTCGCGGACGGACAAGGGCTGGAGCTCTACAAATCATGAGATGGCCTCCGGGATAGGTAGAGGATGAGGAAGTCATCTCGTGTTATGCTGCAATACCATGCATATATACATATCCAATCATATCGCCATGCCGCTCATCCATGCTTCTCGTTTCGCACGCCAGTAACCGCACGACCACCGCATCTTCATCCCTATTCCTTCGCATCCGGCTCCTCGTCACCCTTCTCATCCTCCGCCTTCCTCTTCTGCGCTGGATTTCCTTCCAGAACCGCCATCTTCGCCTCTGGCACCATGGATGGCGCCACTGGCGCATGCTCCGGCGGTTTCTCAGCTGGCATAGGCGGATACACGCCGTCATCTCTAATCTGCCAGCCATCGATCTTGAGAAGGTTCCACCTCTCCTTGATCTTGCATCGGACTAGTTCGCCTGTCGTACGCGCATCCTCGTAGCTGTCGTGGCCAGCAGCGCCTCCTTGTTGGATCTGCTCGCCAAGGTGGTCGGACGCCAGCTTTCGCAGGCCGAATCGGAAGGGGAGACCACTTGGGTTTGGATATAGGAGTACGGTGTCGATGATGGTGGGGTGGACAAGGCGGATAGTGTTGAGGTCGTTTTCGAGAGCATGGCCGAGGACAGGGGTGGTGGGAGAGACGTGTGAGAGAAACAGGTCTCTTGCTGCGTGGGGTGATTCGACGATACGTAGGTCTTTGCGGACGGGTTTCGGATTTCCTGGGTCATATGGCTTCGCGTTCAAGAACTGGTCTGCGGTGATGCCAGAGAAGCGGGTGTTAAAGTCCAAAACGTGTCCAAGTGGGCGGACCAGCACGTCGACAAGAGGCTTGTGTTGTGGCCATGTGATGACTGTGAGACGAAGCATCTCAAGGCCGTTGGTGGTATAGCCCATCTCGCAGTCGAAGCAAACAGCGGTGTCCTTCGGTACTTTGTCGTTCTCCGGCGTTTCGACAAAGGGCATGATGAGTGACAGTCGATTTGGATCTTTGACGTTGTACACGTGGGTAGGATGTGTAGTGCAGCCCGGTGACCCTACCTCCCCGTTGCAGCAACTGAACTTTGTAGATTCTGGGGCGACACCTCTTGTTTTCCTTGGAAAAACGCGCCTCCCCCAGTGATGCTTGCACTGCCCTCCTGTTGTAAGCGCTCCATCTTCTTCTCGCCGCTCTGAGAAGACCTGGAAGCGAGTATTGCAGCGGTCACACTGTTCCCAACCGCCAGCTGCTTCGAGCGCCAACTTTGTCTCGTTGAGATCGGCCTCAGCAGGTACCTTGGTCACATAGCCGTGCTGGTCTAATCCATCCTGCGGGCACACAAGCCTGGGGAGGAACGTTATCTCTTCTTTCGCTGTAAGGCCCGTGTCTATCCTCTTGGGT